TAATTGTATGACGATCAAATTATTTTAGCCTAATTATCGTAACGGTTTTATTTAATAGTAAGTAGTAATGTATAAATGTTTTATAAGTTGCATTCCAGTATAATTAGTCAACGTTTTATGATCATTTAACATGTAATATTAGATAGTATTTTTTATAATTGTGTATTAATTAATGGTAAATATAATTATAAATTAAGATGGTTATTGTTGTACACATATATTATTATACAGTATTATTATTGTTTTATTTTAAAAATATTTAAAAGTTTTTAATGGATATAATTATAAGTATATAAAGTTTTTACTAATAACATGTCATTTAATGGTAATTATAATATCATTTATTTAACTATAATCTATAATTATTATGAGTATAATTGTCATTAAGCAATGGTAGCGTTAGTTAATGATAATATGATTATGATTATATTTATACTAATTATTAGTAAAATGATAAAAATATAAAACAACACAAAACTTTAAAATATTTGGTTAATAATGATTAATAACATATCTCAGAATATAATAATTATATTATTGTTTATTCAATTTAGATATAGAATGTGTATTATTATTTCATTTTAAAATAATAATGAATGATTGGTTTGATTTGTCGCGACCCATACCCCTGGATATGCGGGTAAAGGAAGCGGACAGTCATCTCTACCGAATAGGTTTATCCCTATTTAACACCGAATATACGACTACTAAAAGGCATTTTATTTTCCATCCATTGTTTGTATTTATTGGCAATTTATTAACGATTTCTAAATGTTTTACATCAATACTGTTACGATATAATGACATTGAAGTGACAGATTTAATTCATTTGTGTCTGGGTAATAATGATTATTTTTTATCAACTGGATACACTGTAAATATTATAATATGTACATTGAGTTTGTTTCCACTGACATCTCAAGTAATACATTACTATAACTATAGAAATGGTATAAAACCCACACAAATGAGAGTATTTCAAATGATTTCGGGCTTTGTTTCGCCAAAAAGTATTGGTATTAATGATAAACAATTAGTTCGCAAAATATGTCAAATGTGGCAAAAATTGTCGTTAATAACTAAACTATCCATTTCATCTGGTACATTTACGGCGTGCATATTTTACACTTATAATCTATCTATGATTAATGATATGAAATATTTTGTCCTGATTGGTTTGCCTCATATAATTCATTATGCATTTTGGGGATTACATTCATTGAATATATTGTGTTATGAATTGTTATATTATTTTATAATAACATCATATCTTAAAAGTAAATTAATTGCAATAAATAATTCATATAAACGTCGAGTAATTAAATTTGTACATGATAATACCAATTGGTATTTAGCAAAATCTGTGCGTAATTTAAATGAAATTTATGTGGAAATCAATTCATATAATCGTATATTTTGTTCAAATTTTTTGGGCCAGATCTGGATAACTATGAGTACATTAATTACTTATTTTATAAGTTTATGTGTTAATAAAAATGACCAGATTACATTTATAATAATAATAATCTCAATATTTGGTACAATATATTACTCAATGATATTGTTATTTATAATACATATTACGTCCGCACTTTATAATGAAGTGAATAACACTTATTGTCTATTAAATACATTTATTTCTTCCAATAAACAAATACCGACACAATTAAAAATCAAAGTAAATTCTCTCCATCTCCTTCTCTCCATCTCCTTCTCTCTCTCTCTCTCTTTCTCTCTTTCTTTCTTTCTCTAATTATAATTATTTCTAAAATAGATGTTGAATACAACTGAACGCATAGCAAAACATCGAATTGGGTTTTATTGTTGGATATTATTTATAGTAAATCGTTTTCGTGGATATGAAGTAAGTATTGAATTATAATATAATTATAAATTATTTTAAATATTTAAAAATGTAAAATCATATGTTTTGTTTATTTTAATTAAGTTAAATAAATAACTAAATGAAAATTTTATGCATTAATCTTATGCTAATAATCACATCAAATATAATTACATATTACATAATATGCTTAATTTAATATGTATCATTTTATATTTTATTTTGTAGATTATTTCACTTATTGCTATTTTCTATTGTATGATTTCGCATAAATAGCTCACGGTACTAAATGTAAGTAGTTTGGTTATTTAATATTGATTTAATTATGATGTAAAACATTATTTCAGGTAATGAATCTTTCGTAATCATTCTGAATGACTTATTCATTAAATTTGTTTTACATATTTATAAATATATTATTTTATTTAATGCATGTAACTTTATTTATTAGATTTATTGTTATGGCCTTGTTATTAAAATGGCTTTAATTGTATGATTATTTAATTATTTTAGCCTAATTACGGTAACGTTATATTTAATAGTTATTATTTATGTGGAAATGTTTTATTAGAAGCATTACAATATAAATGATTACACTTTTAATTTATAAAATAATATCAAAATATAGTAATTTAACATTTTACATTTACAAGTAAGGTGCCCAGGGTGTCGTTTCGATAATTGTATAATGCCATTGTGGTAGTAGTTTAGGGCACAAATATAGAGTAGAGACATTTTTCGGGCTAATGACCATAAACTGATCTACTGTAGTCACCCAGTCGGGTGCTGTCCTTGTGGTCATAATCAATGGACACTGATTTTTTAAACAGTTAATATCATTGATTGGTAAATAATACATCACCATAAACTAGTATATTGTTTTTGTGGGCCAATTTACTAATCCGCATAAGTAAAAACAAAAATAGGTTAAATTTTTAAATGTGCTCGGTATCGGGGGTTCGGGTAAAATAGACACTTATAGGTTTAAATTTAATAATTTTTTTACATATAATTAAAGCTCAATAATGAATGTATTAAATGGCGTTTAAACGGATTTGTTGACTAATACCAAACAAAATTAGCAGCCATTCATAGATAAGGTTATTTTTAATGCAAAGACATAACCATTGATCTGATATATTATGTTATGAATTGTTATATTATTTTATAATAACATCATATCTTAAAAGTAAATTAATTGCTATAAATCATTTATTAAAACGAAGAGTAAATAAATTTGTACATGATAATAACAATTGGTTTTTGGCAAAATTTATTCGTAATTTAAATACAATTTATGTGGATATCAATTCTTATAACAGTGTATTTTGTTCAAAGTTTTTGGACCAGATATGGATAACTATGAGTACATTAATTACATATTTTATAACTTTATGTGTAAATAAAAATGACCAGAATACATTTATAATAATAATCATCTCAATATTTGGTACAATATATTACTCAATAATATTATTATTTATAATACATATTACGTCTGCACTTTATAATGAAGTGAATGACACTTATTGTCTATTAAATTCATTTATTTCTACCAATACACAAATATCGACACAATTAAAAATTAAAGTAAATTAAATCTCTCTCTCTCTCTCTCTCTCTCTCTCTCTCTCTCTCTTACTACAATTATAATTATTTTTAAAATTAATGTTGAATACAACGGAACGCTTAGCAAAACATCGAATAGGGTTTTTTTGTTGGATATTATTCATTGTAAATCGTTTGGGTGGATATGAAGTAAGTATTGAATATACAGTATTGGATCATTTGGGTGAAGTAGCAGTTGTGTGAACTAACCATTTGTATGAACCAAACCCCGAAACCAAAACCCGCATTGCATAGACATAATGTTAAAATAGTACCATTTGTGTGAACGTCACCTGTGTGAACGGATCATTTGTGTGAACAATTTGGTGCTATTATTATACAACATTCAATGTATTTTAAGATCAGTTGTGTGAACCATATATTTTTGCCATTTGAATGACAACTCAGGTAATGAACAATTGAATGAAATACTAACACAATTGTTTAAAACTTCATTTAAATCATTAAAACAACAGAAAATTACAGACTATTTCTCATATAACAATTAAAATGTGTAATCTTGAATATTAATGAGAAAATAAGTGTTTTAATCATATTTATAGCATGATCATTTGTATGAATGGATCATTTGTGTGAACCAAATGCTAAAACCCAATCACTTCACCCAAATGATCTTTTACTGTACTACTTATTTTCAAAAATGAAATAAATAACTTTTAAAATTTTATTTAACTAACTTATGCTTATTATTACATTTAGTAGTATTGATACTTTTATTAATATTTGTGTTCATTATTTTATGCTTTTTCTAATAGATTATTTTACTTATTGCTGTTTTCTATGGTAAGATTTCGCATAAATAACTCATAGTATTAATTTTAATTTGTTCAAATTATTATATAATTATTTTATTATAATGTCATCCAATTATTTCAGGTAAAAACTTATTAATATAGCCAGACAATTAAGGATTAAAGTAATTATTTGGGTATATCAGCATTATTACCAGAAAGTTATCATTGTCAATAGGTTAATCATTAGTTCCATAGAGCTAGTGTTGTTCATAGAATTATCATTAGTCTAAAAGAATTAACATTGTCCATAGATTTAACATTCTAATTGCGATGTATTATTTAAAAGTTTATGTAATAAATAAATATTTTATTAATTGTTATATAATGTTATCAATGATTACTCAATTGTAATTTGCATTTGTAATTCTTACTTTATAATATTTTTGTAATTTAATTTTTAATAACCATCAAATAATTATTGCTATATTGATAATGCAAACTTGTAATTTATTTTAAATGTTGTGATTTGAACTAAATTAAATAAAAATTTTAAATATCAAATTTAAACTGAATAATTAAAATTTTAAATATTATATAAAAGTAAGTTTTTTATTATTATAATAAAATATAATTTATTAAAATTCTTGAAATATTATCTATGTGAATTTTATGCCTAAAATCTGAAAATGCACCAAGCATAAAATTTATTAAGACATTAATGAATATAAGTTAATAATGTTTCAAATTTCCCACCATGTAAACAAATTAAAATTAATTAATTAATTTTTGCACTAATGAAGCAACCATTTAACAGTATGTTTGCAATTTCAAATATATAAATTACCTGCAAATAAAAAATATGGCTCTTATGTTGGGCTTTAGTTACTTATTTATATTGTGTTTTATAATATCCTGTACCGGCCCAACGTTACAACGACCAGGTAACATATTATATATTGATTCACTTTGTTTTTGTAATTTTAACTTATTTATATAATGTTTAAATTTTTAGTGTATATATTTTGTTAGATTAAAACAAATCAATTTAGTGTGCTAATAATTTAGCATGCTAATTATTTATCAAAGTGTATATTGAATTATAAAATAATAAAATTGATATTAAAACATCACTGTAATATAAATAACAATTTTTTTAACTACAACAAATAAATTAGTTTGTTTATCTGTAATATGAGGGCGCAAGCTAATAGAAATAACTACATATAAAATAACCTAGTTATGTGCAACCAACAAAAAACATCAACATGACATTAAAAGCGGGTAGCTCTAAATGGTCACCAGGGGGGGAGAGGGACAAAAATAACCTTATTTATTCTATTAATTATATTTATAAACCAAATAGATGATGATGATGACTTAGCGGCAACAGGGCCACCCGATGACACTACGCCAGCCCCGGTTAAATCCAGCACCACTCCAGGCCGGGGCAAATCTAGCACCACTACCACCACTACAACCCCACAACCGGAAGTTGATGAAAACTTGAAAGCAATCCTGGCCAACATGAACCAGCCCATAGAAGGTATAATATATAAAAAACGTGCGTGGTTATTAATTTTGAATATCCCCTAATAGATAGCGACAAAAGTCTTAAGGAGGCGGCGCCAGAGGGCACTACCACCGAGACACTGGACACCACCTCACCCGCGGCTGACCACGATACAACGCCGGAAGTGGATGAAAATTTAAAAGCAATTTTGGCCAACATGAACCAACCCATAGATGGTAGATTTAAGTTATACCATAAATTGTTCATGGTTAGTAATTTGTATTGCCTCTCATAGAAGCTGATAAATCTCTTAAGGCGGCGCTAGAGGGCACTACCGCTGAGCCGGCTGAAAGTACAACCGCACCTGGTAATATAAAATATATTTTTTGAATCTTGTTAAATAATTAACTAAACTTTTTTTTTGTTATAATGCATATACAGCTGAAGAAGATAGCAAACTAAAAGACGCGGCACCGGACCAAACAGGCGCCCCACCAATGGCTGGCGCGTCGACACCGGCCGACGGGACACACCCGGCAGAGGCGGGTGGGGCGACCACACCGGCATCTACTAAAGCTAAAACAAAGCCTGGTGCTAAACATGATGCAAAACATGGTGCAAAGCATGGTGAAAAGCATGAGACACATCACCATCACGGCCACCATCATGGCCACCATCATGGTGACCATCACGGTCACCCTCACCATCCCCATAAGCCAAGCAAGCCCATCACAATGGTAATGATCAAACAGACGGTGCCGTCGCCGCTATCACCCCTACTCAGTGGTGGCAATAAACAGGTTGTGATAGCGGTGGGCACCGGTGCGGCGCCGGGCAAAGCAGCATCCAAACAGCCGAGCAAACTAGTAGTGATCACACCGGGCAAAGTGCTTGTAGTACAAGGATTCAAAGCGCCGACAAAACCCGGGGTCAAACCTGGTAAGGCCGACGTAGACAAACCACTTAAGGCCGCCCCCGAAGATGACAAACCCCTTAAGGCCGACGCCGGCGAAGACAAACCCCTTAAGGCCGACGCCGGCGAAGACAAACCCCTTAAGGCCGACGCCGGCGAAGACAAACCACTTAAGGCCGCAGCCGATGAGGACAAACCGGTTAAGTCCGCCGCCGCCGACTCAGACGATGTTAAGTTAAAGTCAGCTCAGGATGAGGCCCAAACACCCGCTCCGGACGCTGCAGCCCCGGCACAGGTGGGCGAACCGGTAGCTACAGAAGCGACAGCACCGGCAGCGGCAGAAGGGGAAGCAACACCGGCAGCGACTGGCGAAACTGGCGCGACCCCTGAGCCACCACCCGCTGATTCTACTCAAACGACAGGTGAACCCACACCGGCTGGAGAGCCCGGAGCGGCCACAGCGGCACCGGTAGGTTCCGCATCGGTGGCTGTAGCGGCACCGGGCGGTACGTTAGCCGCGACGGGTAAGGGTGGCGCCGGCGTTGTGGCTGGTATTGGCGCAGGCGGTGTAGTGGCGGCAGTGGTGTCCAGTAGTGGTGGCAAAACGCAGGCCCAGATCAATGAGGAACGGTTCCGAAAGGCCCAGCAGTTGTACCAAACGCTGGCCCACAATACGCGCAAATTGATGAATATGACGGCTGAGGCGACCAGGAACATGCTTAATGGCACGATGCGTTATGGTAAAATAATTGGCAACGAGACCAAGCGCCATTACGATATGAGGGACAAGTACTCGGCCGACTGGCGCAACGCTACCCATAAGATAATTAATGGTAAGGCTGTCGTATAGGGGGTTGTCGTATGGCTGTTTTGTAACATGTCATATGACATGACAAACAATGTCACCTTGTAAATGTGTAACATAGGGAATAAGATCATTTTAATTTTAAGTTAACTATGTCAGTTAAACTCATCACATTATGATTATATTGATGTGGTATGAAATAGTAGCGGTATGGAGTAACAAGATAATTTTAGTTTATAATTTTACGTATAACCAATACATTTATTAAATCTAAATTTAAACGCCCCACACCCAAATAGGCACGATAAGGTTTATACAGGCGTTGCACAATGGCACCAAGATCATATTTAAGGAATCGCAAAAACATTTGGGCCAACTCGGGAACGAAACAAAACAGATGTACGACAAACGGGGCGAATACGCGGCCCAAGTGGCCAATCAGACCAACCAAATGACGGCCAAACTCACGAAAGAGAGCAAAGAGTTTTACGCCAATCAGGCGCAGGTGGCGGCGCGTGCGCGGGCGGCCACCGCCAAGTTCAACGAGGCCAACATCGATCAGGCGGCGCGCATAGCGGCGGCCACCAAGGTGGCGTACGATCATCGCGAAAACATCAAGGGCAAAATCAAACAAGATATAAAAAACGCGCCTGGCCAATTAAGAGAGGAGTTGGCTAAAGCGCCGGGTCAAATTCGAGACTCGACGGGCCGGTTAGTCACCGGCACTGTACACGTGGTGGGCGCCGGTATTCAGGGCGCGCGGGCCAACACTGGCAAGTTGGTGGCCGGCACTAAACAGGTGGTGGGCGCCGGTATTCAAGGCGCGCGCGACCACACCGGCAAGTTGGTGGCCGGCACTAAACAGGTGGTGAACACCGGTATTCAAGGGGCCAGAAAAACGGTACAACAGATTAAACAACAGCCAGTGGTGGTGGCCATTGCCAATCGCAAGGGTGTGGCGGCCGCTATTTTGACATCGGGTGGCGGTAAAAGTGGGCCAGATGCACCGGCCGCGCCTGACGCACCTGGTGTGCCGGCCGCGCCAGGTCAAGCTGATGGTGCGCCTGGTGGTGATAGTCAGCATGCTGATGTGAATTTAAAAGTGGCCGAGTCTGAGTCTGTAACAACAACAACGACCGAGGCCGAAACAGAGACTACTGTTTCATCTAGTGATGAGACTACGACTACGGCTGATAGTTAAATGATTCGGGTGATAATATTAAATTTTTCAAAATGTTTTTTGTATTCAAATTCAATATGTATTGACAATACAGTATTGTTAATCTCTGTTATTTTATTATATCTTATTTTGTTTTATTTTTGTTGTTGTAATGCTTCATTTAATTATAATCGTGGTCAATAAAGTGT